CGATGAGAAGCCCGAATGAGGGTCCTGGTGCCCCTAGTGGAGGGGCCGGATTGGAAAGCGCCTCCCGGTGGGGCCGGCAGCCCCTGGCTTTGTCCCTTGGGTAGTGGGTCCGCAGCTCTCGCCCAGTGAGCGCCGGGCACCGGCCAGAGGTAAGGTGAGGATGGCGGCTCCGGCAATCCGCTCAGGGTAGGGGAAGGCTGTGCGGGCGGTTTGACATAGGGCCCGCAGCTCCCTCAGCCCCGGTCCCGGCCAGTACCGCAACCCCTCCCGTGCGCTGGGGTGGCGGGGCCGAAACGTGCCCGGTTAAAGTCTGTGTCCCTAACAGGTGGGAGTGACAGCCCAGAAGACCATGAGGCTTCTGCCTGCATCGGGGCGAAAGGCGACGCAGAAGGTAGCGGCTGAGGGGCCCGCACAAACTTGTGCTGCCGGTGGCTCGTTTTCCCCTTGTGAAGTGTAACGTGGTGGTGGTTGTAATCTTTTGAGTTTCTTTAGTTGGTATGTTTTGGAACCATATTTTTGGAACTTTTTGGAAAACTTTTGGAAAGAATAGGGGAAAAAAAAAAGAAGCTGAATTTGTTTCTGGAAAACTTTCAGAACCAATAAGGAATTTTCAAAACTTAAGGCATTGCTGAAACCACAAGGGAGTTATCCCGTGTCTCTCTATTTCTGTTTTGCTGACACAAATATAAGTCGAAAGTTTCTTTTCTAATTTTCCTTATTACAATTTCAAGCTAAGGAAACTTTGGAAAGCTCAATAGAAACAGTGCGGTTTTTAGTTTTAATAATAAGTTCTTGCTATGAAAATACAACCGTTTCCCAGATATGTCTTTCTAGAGTGTTCCACATGATAGTGACTGACCTTTTTAAGAAGAAGCAGAAAAAAGCTTGTAAATGCTGTTACCTTGCTTATTGTTCTTGGGCTTTAGTGTCCTGTCTATAGCAGTTTATCCAGCTTTCCAAAACATGCTCCCATACAGCTATGTAAATCAAGTCCTGTAGGATTTAAATACTTAAGTACAGAAAAAAATATAGGAAAATAATTATTAAAAGTAATACGTATGTAGTTAAAATAACTGTTAAACTTTTGAAGGTGGTTGTTGGAGATCAGGATGGGGTCATTACATGTTTTGGCATAAAAAAAGGAGAAGCTGTGGTAAGTGGAAATGTTCAATTTATTTTTTTTGAGTATTTTTCCTAATGAGCTTTGGAGGTCTGCTTTTATTGCTGTGGAAGCTCTCAAGGTACTGCTGTGGACTGATACCCAGCCATGATCAGGACATGCTGCTTTCATGTGCTTGGACAAGCACATAGTCCTCCACAATTGTAGAATCAGACACTAGTTTATATCATCACAAAAAAGGCCCATTTAACACCTAACAGATCAGTTAGGCTTAAGTCTGGAGTCTTAAGTTAGGCTTACAGAATCACAGAACGTTAGGGATTGGAAGGGACCTCAAAAGATCATCCAGTCCAATCCCCCTGCTGGAGCAGGAACACCTAGATGAGGTTACACAGGAAGGCGTCCAGGCGGGTTTTGAATGTCTCCAGAGAAGGAGACTCCACAACCTCTCTGGGCAGCCTGTTCAGTGCTCTGTCACCCTCACTGAGAAGAAGTTTCTTCTCCAATTTAAGTGGAATCTCCGGTGTTCCAGTTTGTGTCCGTTACCCCTTGTCCTATCATTGTTTGTCACCGAGAAGAGCCTGGCTCCATCCTCGTGACACTCACCCTTTAAATATTTATAAACATGAATGAGGTCTCCCCTCAGTCTCCTCTTCTGCAAACTAAAGTCTTGGAGTCTACACATACTCCATTACTGCAACTGGACAAAACGCTGCAGTGATTCACTAAATCACTTTAAGTGATTTTGACACAATGATTGCTTTCTATGAGCCTAGGCTTATGTCCAGCATAATAAAAATTTATCCTTCTATATTTTCCCATTAGTGAGGTTCATAGCCAGCTCATAAGGACTCTATAGCGACACAAATCAATTTAGTCTTCTGGAATAAAAATGCAACATTTAAGTGGGAGGGAGTATATATGTTTTACAGCTGCCAGTAGTGCTGGAATTGTCCTATGAATGAATAACACTGTAATAGTAAAGCCTTAATTTACCATATTTTACAGCATTTTATATTTAGTGACTTATAAATACTTGATTTCTTTGTGGTGCTGAAAGGTATGGATACTTCTTCATCTGCATGTAATCTCTAGTTTAGTTTAGTCTCATCTTTAGTTTTGCCAGAAATTGTAAAGCAGATTTTTTTATCTTTTGTGTTAAAAGACTACCATAAATACAATATTCTGATGATGAAAATGATGTTTCTATTTACAGCCAGTGTTCAAGACACTGCCAGGCCAAAAAATTGCAAGGTTGGAGTTGGGAGGAGCTCTTAATACACCACAAGAGAAAATTTTTGTGGCTACAGGATCAGAAGTTAGAGGTTTCACAAAAAGAGGGAAGCAGTTTCTTTCGTTTCAAACTAACCTCACTGAAAACATCAAAGCTATGTAAGTGTAATATTATGCATTTATTTCATATCTGTAGCAGGTTGTTAGTTTATGATGTTATGAACTAATTTTTTGCTGTATTGTGTGCTCATAGGTAACACTAAGTGCCAGTCCAGCTTTAGCTTGTGCTATGACATGTAGGAAGGAGCTTAGAAAAGCATGGTGAGGTGTAGGAAGTGTAGGGGGGGCTGGGAGGGGTCTGGAGGCACTGACATCCGTGGAAATGCAGGTGAGCGGAGCTGGGGCTATTGTCATAGTGTGTCATGTCCATACACCCTTCCTGTAGCAGACCGGGATTGTGGTGTATGGTGCTGCCTTATTTAAACTGGCTTGAGGAAAATTAATATCATCAAAGCATATTAATGAAATTTCTAAAAAGATATGCTTAGGATTTTAGTGAAGGCAACATAGGAAATTTGAGAGCTAGAGAAATCACATGGTTTTAGCATTCATAAGAAACTTTTTTTTCTAATAGCTGGAACAGCTTGCAGGGTGCACTAATGCCTTGAATCTGCAAGCTGTGGTGTGTGCGTATAGTGGAGCTAGAAGACTTATCACTGCTGCTGTACTGAGAACATGCTACAGGAAGTGTTTTCTTTTTCTCAGGCATATTTCAGGAGCAGACCTCTTTCTCTGTGCAAGCTATATCTATAACCATTACTGTGACTGCAAAGACCAACACTACTACCTATCAGGAGATAAAATCAGTGATGTGCTCTGCCTTCCCGTAGATAAAGTGAATTGCATTACACCGGTACTTGCATGTCAGGATAGAGTCCTCAGAGTTTTACAGGTTAAAATATGTATTTGTTTTGTGTATTGATGCCTTAGAATTGGACTGATTCTGAAGGGAATCACCACATCAGCATGGCTTAAACATCAAAAGGATAAGCATACCGTGTCTTAATTGCCAGTGTTGCTGTCTATAAAGCTGGTACTGGTTTTGTTTGGTTTTGTTTTTTTATAAAGGAAAATCATTATTACTAACTTGCAAAATGAAGATTAATAAAACCACTATAAATGGTGACAAATGATGATGATGACAAATTGTTTCCTTCTAACTAAAAGTGTTCACATAAGGGAATTAAATGTGTAAGTCTATCAGTTTGGGAATTCTTGTTCTCACAAATTACTGTTGTGACAAATCTGAGTGATATTAAGTGGTTTAACAAAATTGTCAGAAGAATTCACAGATTACTTTTAATAATAACACATTTTAAGAGTCCTATGTTTTATTTATATAAACTCTACTTTGTTTTGACTTGGAGATGGTTCTCCCATAGGTATTGAGAATTTGTATAAGCATATCCATTATTATTGTTATCTGTAATTATTTTGTCCTTATGCTTGTAGTTGTTTTGTTTTGTGATTGGTGTTTGGTTTGCTTTGGTTTTCAGTTTTGGTTGGTTGGGTTTTGTTGTATTTTTGGTTGTTTTGGGTGGTTTTTGTGGGTTTTTTTTTGTCGTGTTTTGTTTTGGGTTGTTTTTTTTTCCAAAACTCATTCAAGAGAATTTTTTTTTGTCTTTAGGGATCTGATTTACTGTATGAAGTAGAAGTTCCTGGACCACCTACTGTTCTTGCTTTAAACAATGGAAGTGGGGGTGGGTAACAAGATTTTCAATGTACACATGACTAATGTTATTTTTACTATACTTTAAAGTTTTTATTGCTTGTATTTGTTAATTACATTTTGCCTTGATTTTTAAGCTGATGTTAAAAATGTGGCAGAAAACTGTGTGAAGTAATTTTGTATATACAAAAAATATATATACACACCTATGATTGTTTTAGACAGTTCTAAATAATACTCACATTTAATTGAAAGCCTTTTACCATAGTAGTGAGATATAAGGTCGTCTCATTGTGTAAATAGGAACTGGGCTTTTGGAGACCTTGTCAATGTATTGGGTTTGGTTTTCTTTTACACATGGGTTTTTCTATGACTAGAATCACTAGTGGCATCTGTCCTTGGAAGGATGAGAATATCGAGTAGAGTTCACATAAACTAAGACTGTGGAAGGATCCGCCTTAAAATAGTATGATCATCCTTCTTGCTAATCTGTTGTAACCTAATAGAAATCCCTTTACTATGTTAATCTGGTGCTTAATTTAGTTGCAATTAGATTGTGTGACAGCAACATTTGGAGCTGGTTTGGAAAAGTAGTTCTTACTTGCTTAAGTCTTGGCACAACATTCACTACTGGATGTGTGTTCTGAATTTACCTGTTTCTCTTCTGTAAAGGCAATTTTATAGTTTACCTTGGCTGAAATTTAAAGTATTGGATTATGAATGGGTTTTAGGTAGAACTCCAGTGCAGGAGGGAAATTCATATGCAGAAAATTGAATTTATCAGAACAGGTGCAGTTTTCAAGTACTTATTTTTGTTCTGTTACGCAACACTAATGTTAGTATTTTCTTTTTCCCTTGCAGTGTAGAATGTACCTACACAATATTTTCAAATCTTTGGAATGAGTGTACTTGATTTTGCCAATTCTAAATTAATTTTATGTGTTTAGGTGATTCTGGAGAAGAAATAGTGTATGGAACTTCTGACGGTAAACTGGGACTTGTCCAGATTACTGGTTCCAAGCCTATAACTAAGTGGGAAATTGGAAATGAGAAAAAGAGAGGTGGTATGTGTCTCAATCTTTCACTCTATAGTTTTCCAGCATAGCTGAGGCTTTATAACAAGTATAATAATAATAATGAAAACTTATTCATAGATACTTTGGAGGCATATTATAATAACGTTATATTAGTATGAGTAAGCTCTCTCGTTCTTCTGATCATCTTGCAAATAATTCTAATCAGTTTGTCTTGCTTTTGGGTTTTCTGTGCATATTATTTGCAGTACTTAAGTATACTTTTTGCAGTATTTTACAGTGCAATTTGTAAAACAATGTTGATTCATATATGATCACATGAGGTTTTTATTGTTTTGGTGGCTATTTCTAAATGCAAATATACTTGCCAGATTTTTCAGATATTCAGTGGTCTTGAAGACCTCTGTGAGACCTTTTTTTTTTCCCTTATTTTTTTCCTTTTCTCTCTTTTCTCCTTTTCTCTCTT